TATCCAGGACGCGACCTTTCGTTCGTCGTCAATACTTCCTGTCGTTAGGAGATGCGAATTTAAAAAAGTGCATTTTCTAACTTTTTTGTTCTTCAATATTTTTCATTTATTTTTGGAATATTAATAGTGACCTTTCCATTGATGCTTACTATATAAGTTGTTTTAGTATTGGTTAATCTGAACTCTAGATATTAATATTTGAAAATCTGAAGCGGGCCCAAGATGGCGGCTGTCTCTGTCTACTCTGCCATTTCGCGAGTAGGGGTTTATGGAGGCAGCTGAGCGTTTGATTGAACCATTCTGACATAAGGATACATGAAATGTGAAAAATTACCTGGACTTTCACGTAGTAGTACGTTGCAATTGAGTGTCAATCTTGAAACTTAATTTCCGTTTCACTGCTTTAGTGTAACTGGGCTAGATACGATATGTAATGTGTACAATGTGTTAAATATACTTTCTTAACGTCGAAATAAAATAAAGGCCATAAGAACGTTTTATTTATTTAATTTCATTGAAGCTATCACACCTATTTAATAGATCAGTCCAAAGAAAAGGCACGAATATTTACTTGTGGCATTTAGCGCGAAATTATGAATAGTGGTCCACCTTTTATAATTCTTAGACAAATGTACTGTTGCAAAAGTATACAAAAGTATATTTAGAGCAGTGCTCCAAATTATAGCATAATGGTATGCGCGTTAGGGATAAAAGAGAAAAAAAAGTGCATTCACGTTGGCAACCTGAATTCAATCCTCCTTGTGACCAAAATTTTGAAGCACTTTTCAGCTTAATTTTACGAGGTTTTTTTTCCTGATCGCAACGAGATCGTATCTAGTTACTTAAAATTATTGTTCATCTATACTCTTTGAAAGGTTTTTTTTTCAATTAAAAAATATCCATGTTACTAAGTTTGCATAAGCAGAAGGTTTCATTGAATCCTAATTCAAATTAATTACAATCAAACCTAATCACCTCATGCCTGATTTGATCCAAAAAAAACTTTTAAAAAGATATCCAATGTTTCTCAATATCAAAGTTAAAAAACATAAAGAAAAAAAAAAGCTTTTGGGACATATACATGGTGTTCAAGATATCAAATTATGAAATAAGGAGTTAAAAAAGTTCAGCTTTATTTTTCTCTGTTGACCAGTTGCAGACATCCCGGGCCTGATTGTGGGAGCTCACAAGAACCTGGGTCTGGGCTTCTCCTTTCTACAACACATACAGCGCTGTGCCTGTCTCCTCTATGTGATCGATCTGTCCTACACCGAGCCCTGGACCCAGTTCAGGGCCCTACAGTACGAACTGGAACAGTACCAAGAGGGACTCTCCATGAGACCTAATTTGATCGTGGCCAACAAGGTGGATCTAAGTGTGGCGGAGAAAAATCTGGAGGTGTTAAAAGCCAACGTGGACTTACCTGTTATTGCTATTTCTGCTGCCAAACAGACAGGGGTGGAGGAATTAATGATGCAGATTAGAAAACTTTATGAGAAGCATAAATCTGAAGAAAAGAACACTGTGAATGAAGTTAGAGGGAAAGTGACATAGTGTTTGAATGACAAAATTCATTACAACCATTTAAATGTTATTAAAATAGAGTAGGAATATTTTAACAGAAGAGGTGACTTTTGCAAAGTTTGCTCTGCACAAATCTTAAGAAGCTCTATACCCTAAGTAAAAATGTTTTGGGGACTTTAAAAATAAATGTTTCACATAAAAGTGTACATATTGCATTTTATATCTAGTTTATTTTTAACATAGGGTACTACAATATCTTTCCCCATTGAAGAAAAATATGAAGATAATGATGTATGTATCATTGAGCAGAAATAATGGTTGTTTCCTTACATTGGTAAAATGCATGCAAATAATGTATTCATTTACTTTATCCTAGTTTAAAATTGTTGAGAATACTTTGACCTGTTACAATTGTTACCATTTGTTTTATCTTTTGAATATAAGGGCAGGTCACTCTTACTGCATAAACTACCCTACAATATCATCACTCAGTGTTAGAGTTTCGTTAATGATGCTGACAGGTAGCAAAATCATCAAATAGCATATGAGTATATAAAAACAACTTGAAAGTGCTATAAATATCTGGGTTTCACACTTTTGTCTGTTAACATATCAAGGTTCTACTCTGAAAATCATCTGAGAACTGGTATTATCACAGTAAGTAACTATTACTGTATTGCTATTTACATTTAATCTCCTTGCAATAGGGTTTTAAAGTCAACAACAGAGTATTTCCCAACATTTTAAATACTGTTTCTTTAATAAGAAGTTGGAGATGATTTGATGTTATTGTTCCAAAATTGGTTTCTGTATACTGTACATAATAGAAAGTAACTTAATCAACAATTTTTCAGATATTATTACACTACATACATGACTGTACTGTGTGCTATAGAATTAGTAAAGAATGATTTAAACCCCCCCCCCCCCCCCCCCCTCACCACCACACATAATTCATCTGCTGCTGTACAGATTGACAAGATCATCATTTTTTAAAAGGACATACATGTATATGATATTTATATTAGATACATGTAGACATCTCTGGACATGTTGGTGTTCCAATAAGCGACAAGATAAATTTAAGATTATCATTTTTTTAAGTCTTCATGTGAGCATTGACTCCACTCTCTTATTTTATTAGACAGTCCCTACTAAAATTTTGATGTAGTGTGATAAGCAATGTATAAGGAGCTAAATAATGAGAAAATTATCCCCTAACATCTATCTAAGATAATATTGGAATGTTGGACACGCCTAAAGTTTTTGATTTAATTTGCTGTGGGCATACATGTAAATCTACCAAGTGAGTTATATGTAAAATATCCAGAAATTCCTCGAAAAATCATCCGCAGATTTTTGTTGACTATTTTCTTGTATTTAAATTTATGTTTTTGAACTTTTTATGAATTTTTAAATGATGATAAACGTCATTTTGAATTGAAAAAATCCTAAATCTGGCGCCTTGAAATTTTCAGATAATCTTTCTTGCCCTGTAGATTGTGTCAGCTTAAATTACACTTGATTTTTATACCCCCCGCTTGAAAAGCGGGAGGGTATATAGTAATCGTTAATTCCGTCCGTCTGTACGTCTGTCCGTCCGTCCGTCTGTTACGCTTTGGGGTACCTATCTCTTATCCGCAACTCCTCTCATACCACTGAATGAAATTTGATGAAACTTTCACAGAATCTTTATTACATATTGCCATTGTGCACCTGCTATTTTACTTTTAGATCCGACACATATTTTGGGTTTCCCGGCCACAGCAAAACATGGACTTTGCCATTATACATGTTACTATATGGAGGCGGGGGGTATCATTTAGTGAGCTCATCGCTCACAGTACCTCTAGTTTTTTTACAGTTAAGGCACATAAACAGGGGTATGTGTAACACGTTAATTTTTTTTAACTATACGGTACCTTTTTATACATGTATGCACAAATGGGACTTTTTCTATATATCATGTATATTGGTATATATACCGGTATATGGTCATGTAAAAACAATTATATACGGTATATACACAAGATATATACTCGGTTTATGAACGCGTCCATCGATCGACAAAACGAAACCACCGAATAATCTTTTTTCCTGAAATGTTCTCTTTCCTCATCTTATCATTAATAGAATTCCAAGACCCGATGACACTGAACACATTTGTTGTGGAGATCTGGAGGGATATATCTCTTTATTGAGCAATAAATACTGACTTTCTGTGGCGTGATATCTGATTGTTCTGACAAGAAATACAGATTCCAGGGAGATGACAAGAATAACGTTTTCCATGCAACATAATTTAATTCACATGATATGCAACGAAGTGCAATTTTTCATGCATGGTAGGAAAATCAATGCATTCATCAAAATGTGCCATCTACGAAACTACTAGTATCCCAGAATTCAATTTCAACTCTTAGATCGCAAAACGTCGTCATATACCTTAAAAGGTAATATATGCTATGTAGAGAAATTTCTTGAATTTAACAACTGAAAAACGTGTACAAGAAAATTGGTAAGGGTTTAAAAATACAAAAAAAAATTGATGACTAATCTATCCTATTCTCGCATCATTGCTCAAGGACATCTTCAGAGGAAATGATAATTTATTAATAAATTCATGAAAGTTCCTGTAAGCGTTTATATGTTCTTATCTGGCAGTGAAGAATAAGGTTCCTGAAAAACAGTACTACATGCAAAAAATTTCGCGAATAAACGCGTAAGTTTCGCGTTTATTCGCGAAAGCTACGCGTTAAAACGCGAAACTTAAGCGTTATATCGCGAAAGTTTCGCGTTATAACGCGTTACTTTCGCGAATAAACGCAAAACTTTACGACGCGAAAATTACGCATTTATTCGCGAAACTTTCGCGTTATATCGCTATATTTACATTTGCTGATGTCTTTCCTTATATAACAATGCAAATAGAATTGAAATTCAATTTTCAATGACATGCAGTTGGTCACATGATCAGACTTTCTTGCATATGGAAAGCAAACTGCACGAGGAATTTGGATAGTTCCTACTGTGACACCACATGACGTCGTAGTAAAGTTATGTTGCATTTCAAAATCAAAGTCTAAACTAGAGGTACTGTGAGCAATGGGCTCACTAAATGATACCCCCCGCCTCCCATATGAATAAAATGGCAGTGTCCATGTTTTGCTCTGGAAAATCCAAAATATATGTCAGATCAAAAAGTAAAATAGGAGGTGCACAATGGCAATATGTAATAAAGATTCTGTGAAAGTTTCATCAAATTTCATTGAGTGGTATGAGAGGAGTTGCGGATAAGAGATGGGTACCCCAAAGCCTAACGGACGGACGGACGGACAGACGGAAGGACGGACGGACAGACGGACGGACGGACAGACGTACAGACGGACGGAATTAACGATTACTATATACCCTCCCGCTTTTCAAGCGGGGGGTATAATAATGCCTATATTTCTTTGTAACATGAATGAAAACGTAAAATGTAAATATAAGAAATAAGATATCATTTTTAAGACATAAAGTCGGTACGTGATCAAATCTATAGAATTTGATCACGTGACCGACTTCATTTCATACTCCAATAAAACTCTAAAAATTATAATTATCTTATTTCTTAAAAAGTTACGCGTTTACTCTCGAAAATTTCATACGTGTCCAAGAACGAATTCGATGTCGATATCGACGATATCGACAATTTTATGTCGATATCGTATCGATATCGATCGTGATCAGCACTATTAATTGGAAATACCTGGTGCCAAATTTGAGACACTGTATTACGTCGATGTCGTCGATATCGACAATATCATGACGATATCGTATCGATATCGATCCTTTTTGCATAATCTATTTTCACATTGAGGTATAACATTATTTTACAAAGTCACAAGTGAAGTCAAAATTGATTCATTATTGGCGTGAATATGAAAATAAATTATGATTAAGATTTTGTTTTAGATTAGATTTAGAGTAAGATGTTGGGTTAGGGTGAAAATTCTTAAAAATGTTTTAACAATCATGATTCGATATCGATACGATATCGTCGATATCGACGATATCGACAGTAAGGTAAACTTATTAAACACAGAAGTCTTGTAAAAATAAAGTTTTTGTATTATGGTGAAGATTGGTAAAGTAATATGCTTTTAACAATCATGATTCGATATCGATACGATATCGTCGATATCGACGATGTCGATGGCAGGTAAAATCTTCGTAAAATGAAAGTAATTGAACATAAACACATTCAAAGTAGCAGGGAAGGTATAAACAAAGGTTGAGCGAACATGATTCGATATGGAAGCGATATCGTCGATATCGACACTTCAGGGAAAGATTTATAAAGAAAGTTTTAAATAACAGTTGTTAAAAACAGCATATAAAGGATGGAAACCACAATTCTTGAAACAATCATGATTCGATATCGGCACGATATCGAGAATACTAACTGTAAGAAAATAGTTTTAAAACAGGAAGCATTGTTATAAACACATGAGAACAGAGAAATATTATAGAAAACTATAAAAAAAAGTAATATGTCGATTTCGTAACTACATCGTGCCTTGGACATAACTCGAAAATTTCGCGTTATATTGCGAAAAAATTATTTTTTAACCTACGAAAATGAGACCAATAGGCTTTCGTACTCATCATAACTATGTAGGTACTTTTTTTTGTTTCATACCCTGGAGCAAAGAAAAAGATTTTCAAAGAATTTATGCTTTTTCATTTTATACTATTTTTAAATATAGAGTCCCAACACTAGAACCCTTGATCCAGGGACCACGATATTCACAATGTTGGAAAAGACACCCTTCCTCGTCATAACTATACATTAAGTTTTTTTTTTTCAATACCCAGGATCAGAGAAGATTTTCAAAGAAATAAGTCACTTTCATAATATATTCTATATAGCCCCGCCTTAGCACCAGAACCCTGGACCAGGGGCCATGAATTTCACGATTTCAGTAGAGGATTCAATGCTTATTACCAACAGTTTGACTGCTTGATGTCCAGGAGTAAAGAAGATTTTTAAAGATTGCATTAATTTTTATGGTTTTAGTCCCACTCCTCGGGGCTTCAGGGGGTGAGGTTACAGGGCGCATGAAATTCACAATGTTCGTTCCCCTTCACCCATAAATGCTACACTTACATGCCTAAATTGGTTGAAACTGGTTGAGCGGTTTCAGTAAAAAAAAATAAAAGTGTTCAAATGTTACCGAACGACACACGACGACGGACAAAAGCAGATAGGTCACCTGAGTTTACGCAGGTAACCTGAAAAATCCATACCAAAAGAAATGGATATCGATATGTTCAGTAACCCATAATTAGCATCCATCGATGTGTCCGGAAAATGGCAAGTAGAATGGCCTGAAATTGACACGGACGTAACATTAAATGATGTATCTGCGACCTGCTGATGGGACAATTACCGTGTTCTCCCAATCATTCCAGTACAGTCAAGTGAATCCCGGTTCTGTCCCCGAGATCATTACTGGAAAATTGCTTAAGGACGTCAACTAAATTACAAGTATTTCAGACAGTACCAATTTTGTGGACTATTTCCACGAATGATTCCAGAGTCAGAAATTGATTTTTGAGGACAAATTTTCTAATAAAGTTAAATTGCAACCAGAAACAGCAAAATTATCCTAAGTATAAACAAGCAAAGTTTTCGGTGATCCCCAAATGATATAACTCGATGGTTTACAAGCAAGTTACATGTACATCCCCGGCCTGTATCAGTTCCTTGACACAAACCCAATTCGACGCCCTCTATGCGTCAAAACAGCACATACATTCCATGGGTGCGGCTATGGTTTTTATATATCAGAGGTGTATTCCATGTGACAAGACCTTTCTTTAGGTACCCCCCAATTTGACCTCTTGAATTTGACCTATTTGACCTCTTGA